GTGTCCGAACATACGACAGTTCGAACAATACGGCGGAAAAGACTCAATCTCTACATTCTGCCAATATCCTTGGTGTTGTGTGCCCAACCAGATTTCCTCAGAAGCGGGTATAGTGATGTTTCTTTCAACAAGTATTCTGACTTCAGATGGATGAGAAGAATTAAAAGTAAGAATGTTCGTCTTGAGTGGCTTTCCATAAGCTAAGACCTTACCATAAGCTGAGACAATAAAATACAACACTTTTTGAGAAAAGTAATGAAATTTCAGACCAGGAAGGCGAATTCAAACCAGAATGATTGACAGTTCTGTCTGTGGGTCAAAATTCTCAGACCATTTCAGAATCTTCATTGCTTTGCTATCAATCCATATTATCCTTCTAGTGAATAAGCGCATGTAATCATCTTCATTACTAATTTGAATAAGAATATGCCTCCCATCTAATAGTCCAGTTTTTCACTCTCCAACGAGGTGCATAAGTTCAAATTCTTTACGAATGAGCTCCACTTTGGGATTTGGGATGACCATACAAAAATTTCCCAACCAAATTCAGACGACAGGAGGAAACAAGTTGAATACCTTCATTTTCTGTAAAAAATATGGCAGACTTCCCATTCTTCCTAACAGGTTTCTTGATGTCCTCTGCCCACTCAAAAAAGGAGGAAAAGATGACGATTTAGGTGTGTCTGAGGCGCGGACACCCAAAAGGGAAGGTGCATACGATCTGTCCGAAGCCATCGAAAGCTTTGAAAGAAAGAAGAGAGGAAGCAGTGAGCGCAAAGAAGCCGCAGAGGAGCCGTAGAGAAGCGCACCCGCGAGAGAGAGCCGCAGAGGATCGGAGTTGCAGAGACGCTGGGCCGCAGAGGAACCGCTACGCGAGAAGGACTTGCAGACGAGCGACAGAGTGAGGAAATCTCGCGAGACGGGAAGACGTGTCTCAAAGCAAGAGAAGAAGCGAGGGAGACGAACTGAGTCGAGCGCGAAGACCAGCGAAGACGAGCGAAGACGTAGCTGCTACTAGGGTTCGCCATCGGGCGAAACCCTAGCAGAGCCGAGCGGGATCAGAGACGACACCATATATATATATATATATATATATATAAGCAGGATTACATAAAAAAATATGAATTTTTTTTAGATAAATAATGCAAAGATAATACCTAATTAAAATATAATTTTTTTTTTCAAATTTTGCAATATAAACGTAATGTTATGTTAGGTTTCTAATTTAGAAGAGTTGACATTAAGACAAATTTAAGAACAAATTAATTGTCATCGAGATGAACACTCGTACTTTTGATCTATATGAACATTTTGATTCTTCTCAACTATTTTGCATTAGTAGTTAATGATACTTATATAAGTTTTATTTTGATTTACATGCTTTTTTCTTTATTGATCACATTGTTATGAATGTTTGTAACTACTAACTATCATGCATCGATGTATGCTATATATAGTATATTAAATTGAATGTGATGAATGCATGAATGATATGTTTATATTGATTGTTTGTATGTGCACGTCTGAGTATGATGGAGTCACCTCTTTATGACACTAGCGGGGTAATGTTAAAACACATGTGCACGTAAATGAAAAAAAGGTATTGATGTTGAAGTACGTTAAGTAGTAAAATCTTTAGACAGTATTCTTGCGACGATTGTACACATATAGAATGATGTAGATATGCTATTTATACATTAAAATTCATTAAATATCATCAAATATTTATATTGATTTATTAAAAGCTTAAATGACATATATATTGCTTCTTTTCCCTTTTATTACTATAATTTAGGAGCATGCATATCACTAGCTTTGTTTAAGCTTCCTGTTATTTTAAATGAACATTTGAGGTGTAAATAATTGATTAAAAGATAAATGATATAAGGAAAAATGTCTATAGAAGACCCGGTAACGAAGTAAATTTAATTATATTGCTTTAATATAATTTGATTAGCGCCTCTTTTATTTCTTTGAATATAGAAAACTTAGTTCCTAACGTCTGAGAGTGTTCTGGTCTTAATTATTTCAAAACCTCGGGTCGGGTCTTGACAAAAGTGGTATCAGAGATAATGTTTAAGATTAATTAATTTAATCTTGATTAAAAAATCAATAGAATAATTATAAGAAATTTTAATAATAATAAAAATTAAAAATTTAATTTAGAATCAATAAGTATATCCATTCATACATACTAATACATCTGAAATTATAGAAGAAGAGAATCCGATAGAAAACAAAGAAGTACAACTTATTGTAAATTTAAATGTGAATGTTCTGACCTAGATAATGATGACAATGACTCGATTGATTCAGGAGTCCAGATCGCAGCCCATTGGAAGTGATATAGTCGTTGTGGATAAGTACTTGAAGATATTTTAAGATTTACGTCCACCATTGTTTAAGGGAACTGAAGATTTGATTGAAGCAGGGGATTATCTGATGAGAATTGAGAATATATTAGATGGTATGACATGTCCGTATGAAAGAAGAGTGTCATTAGCTACTTATGTGCTAGGTGAAGATGTCGAAAGGTGGTGGTGTGGGTAGCATTAAGAGAAACATCTAATGTGATGTTCAGTTGGGAGAATTTCGTGGAGTTATTCAGAGAATGGTTTGTACCCTATCAACTCAAAGATGGATGTTCGACCTTAAGTTTATTCCCTCGTTCATAGTGAGCCAGGAGAAACTACTATTGTTGATGGTGATGATGTATGATGAGTTTGACATTTTCTTATATATAAGGGTGTTTTTCTAGTATATTTCTTGCTTCAGTAGCTATGTGTTGTTATCAAAAGTATAGTTGAGTCGCATTGTATAACTCTTTACTTTACAATAATTAATGACCCCTAGTTTCATCATAAAATTTATGAATAGCTAATGTTGGCCTGCTTAATAAGAAATGACTTGAGGTATGTTAATAAATTTTGAGGGCAATATTTTTTATAAGTTGGGAAGATTGTGACAACCCATTTTAGTCATTGGGGGGAGAAGAAACGAAGAACCGAAGAAGGGGAAGTAAAGAGTCGGGATACCGAGGGAGAAAAAACCAAACAGAATGGAGAGGAAGCAAGGGGGTTTGGAAGCCAAGAAGGAGAGTTCGTCTTATAAATCAACACCAGAGGCGGTAGCTTTTGTGTGTGCGGTTCGAGAGCAGAGAAAGGAGGAGATGTGACATGCTTTGTTACCCGAGGAAAGGACACAACTGGCCTTGTGCTTGAGGAAAGAAGAGGATTACAACATCGCTTTGCTGCGTCGAGCTGCGACTAAAGGCAGAGGAAGGAAGACAACGTGCGACGCAGATTTTATGTGTAGAGGAAAAAAGAGCTCTCCCGTGTGCAGAGGGGTTCACATGCGCTTGTGCCATATGAAGGAGGAAGGAGGCGTCAAGAGCTTGTACGAGAGGGAGACGAGCACAGAGGAGGAAGGAGCGAGCCGTGGGTCTGCGGGTTAGGGCTCGACCGAGGAGGTAAACTTTAACCATATTTTGATTTAATAATAAAATTATATATATATATATATATATATATGAATGGTTAGAGGCTATTATACGAACCATAAGCTACCCCTAATGTGCCTAACAATTCAAATACCACCTCTTTAAGGCCACTGTACTAGAGGGAATTCAAAATTAAGCAGAATTACATGAAGTAAAATATGAAAATTTTATACATAAATAATGTTAAGTTTATAACTAATTAAAATAATAATTTATTTAAAATATTGCAATATAATATTATGTTTTTGTTAGTTTTTCAATTTAGAAGAGTCGACTTCAAGGCAAATTCAAGAATAAATTAATCATCATTGAGGTGAGTACTTGTACTTTATATCTATAATAATATTTTAGTTTCTCGCAACTATTTAGCATTTGTAATTAATGATACTTTTGCAAGTTTTATTTTGATTTATCTCTTATTTTATTATTGGTCACATTGTTATAAATGTTTGTAGCTACTTACTATTATACAATAATGTATGTTATATATAGTATATTGAATTAAATGCCATAAACACATTAATGATATCTTTATATTGACTGTTTGTATGTACATTACTGACTATGATGAAGTCACCTCTTTAATATACTAACAAGAGAACTTTAAGGTACCCGTGCATGTAAATTAAAAAAATATTGATATCGAAGTACCTTAAGTGAGACAATTTTTAGACGATGTTTCTGTGAAGATTGTACATATATAGAATGATAGAAATATATTATTGATATATTAAGATTCATTAAATAATATTAAATATTTATATTGATTTATTAAAAGCTTAACTGAAATGCATATTGTTTTATTTTCTCTTGTATTGTAATTTAGAAGTTTAAGTATTTACTAGCTTTGTATAAGCTTATTGTTGTTTTAAATTAACATTTCAAGTTTAATTAATTAATTAAAAGATGAGCGATAGAAGTGAAAATATTTATAGAAGATGTGGACAACTAGTAACCAGTTAAATTTAATTATATTGTTTTAATTTAATTTGATTGGTGACTTTTTCATTTGTTAAATGATAAATGAATATAGAAAATTTAATTCCCATCGTTCGACCTTCTGTTCCTCTTGTATATTTCCAAACCCCGGGCACAAAATCCAAGTAAGAATTTTGTATTTTCATACAAATATTTTGCTTTTGAAGGTGATAAAATTTTGAAATGCTTTAATAAGAAGCGTTTCATATCACGATTAAAACCCATTTTTGGCTTACTTTACATCCATGCTCAAAACTTAACTGCAAAATGGCCACTTCTCTCTACTGTTGCTTGCCCCAAGTTTTGATCTTTTCAAGTTGTGAATGCTTTGGGCCTATTTAAATAACTTATTTAATCGATACCACATTGAATTATTATTTTTTAATTTCCTGTTTTTCATTTTAAATTGAATTCTTTTCTAATTGATTAGAATAACTCAATGCACAATGTATCTGTATGCATTTGATTTTTTTTTTCATTTATCATTTTAAAATTATTCCGTCTTTTGGCATTGAAACAACAGCAGCAAAAGTTTGAGATGCAACAACTATGGATGCCAACAACGCCAGCAAAAATCACCCCAGCAAGTAGCCGGAGGAGCCAACCTCCTGGGCAAAGCTGGCTTGAACCGGCTCTGTTGGTGACCAATGCAGCTCAAGACACCACACCTCCATGGGAGCTTCCAATCCAGATTGGAAGCTCTACCTCATCAGACCATCCAAACTATCTGCCACCATGTCTTCCCTTGTTGGTGCGATTTGGCAATCACCGAGAGATTCATGTTAGCCAAAACATGTCACGGCTTGAGGGAAAGGTCTTTCTTGATGCAAGTCTTTCTAATACCAGCTGCTGCTGTTGCGGCAACCAAAAAGCTGAGTGTGAGATTATTTTGACGGCATTCACCCTTCCTTTAGCTTTGGAGTAAATTGTTTTACATATGGTTATTTTAGTCATAGGTTCTATAAAAGTGTCAAATTAGCCCCTGAAATAATTCTCATGGAACTATTTCAGCCAATATTTCAATATACATTAAAAGAGTCCGGGGGCTAAATTACCACTTTTATGGAGTCTGGGAGGACTCCTGCAAAGAGTTACTATTTTGACACTTCTCTCTTTAGCTTTGTATAAATAAATATTCCCCAGATTCTGATTCCCGCCTTCTTAGCATCACAGATGGATTGCCAGTTACCTTATTTCCTATTTGTGATTCATTACCAGAAAGTACTTTGAATGTTTCTAAGATGGTGAAAATGTCTGCTCCCCCAACCCCTGCAACCACAGAAAAGTTTTACAAGACGTTGCCGGATAAGCAGCTATCTTTAGAACTTACTGACATAGATGAAGCGGGGGCGAGAGTAGAAAATTTGATGACAAAGGACATAATTGTGCCCTCTAAAGAGGCATCTGAGAGGCTCATAGGAGTTCAAAAGGTCATTGAGAGAAAGAATAATGGAATTGACTTGAACTTAGTAAGTCCGAAGAAGAGACCACAAATGAAAAAACACAGACCAAAAGTATTTGAGGAAGGAAAGCCTTCAAGATCACCTAAGCCAGTAACCCCTCAGCTAGAGACAGATGAACAAATGGGACGTAAAGAAGGTACCTCGTGCAAAAGGAAATATGCCAGGAGAAAGAAGGCTGTGAACCATTTTCCAGACACTGCTTCAAATGCAGAAAGCACGGGAGAGACCAAACCTGTGAGAAGGTGCCTGAACTTTGATCTGGAGGAACAGTTGGCAGTCAGTGAATTCTCAGATGCAATGTCAATGTTTAAAAAGGTGCTTGGAGCTCGTGTTCTTGAGGAATGCGATGAAAGTGCTGTGACAAGTTTAAGCGTGAAAGAAACAGCAGATTTTGACAGAGACTTGTCAGTGAAGCTATCGCCAGAGACCATCTCTGATCACAGTGGTTCAACATATCAACCAAACTATGAATGCTCAAAGCTGTCACAAGTTCCAGCACTACCTGCAAAAATTAACAAAAGTATGCGTTCATCCATTAAAAAAATGCCATTTTTAAATTCATCAGTAAAACATTTCAAGGCACTAGCAAGGGAAACTGCTTGTTTGGACTCTGCTTCTTTCAGTTCTCAAAGCTCCTCAGAAGTTACTCAGAGGAATCTCAATTTCAATAAAATCTCTGAAACACTACCTAAAGGCACCAAAAGGGTTCAACTTTCCTTTGATGAAGCTGCAGCGTCCAATCAAAAAGCAATCGTTCATTCATACGTCCTTCGAGGCTGTTCTAGCAATGCTGGGACGAAAGAATCAAGCCCAACAAGCATTCACAAAAGAATAAGAATAGAGAGGTGGGGCCCTGAGGAAGTCAATTTTAATGCTTCAAAGTGTTGGGACATAAAGCAGCTTTCAAATGGCTCAGAGAATTTCACTGTTGCAGAAGCACCAAGGTTTATGGTCCAGGAGAAGATGAAAGATTTAGAGCGTATATTAGCATTTAACCAAACGGAAGGATATGTGCGAAACAATCTTGTTTCTGGTGCTGGAGAAGCCTCCTTAAGTAGCTCAAGGAGCAAGTCAAATCCTGCTAAGCCATCCAAGCAGAAGAATGAGGGCATCATTCAACAGTCTACTACTAAAAAGCTATCTAAATTTAAGGACACTCTTGAAAACAAGATATTTGGAAAACAACCTAATCTAGAGATATCTGAAGAAATATTGAATTCTTTGAATACACGCATAAAGACAAGGCACACATTTGTGGAAGAGTGGCCATCAGAATGTTCAAATGGTATTTCTTCTGCACAAAAGATTGTTGAAGGAGGTGCTTTGTCCGCCAGAAGCTTGGATGGAAAGAATTTAAATGTAGAAACCTTTTCGGTAGACAGCCAAAGTACATGTTATTATAATGTCTCAGCTCCTTTCAGCCTCTCGTTGGGAACATTAGTTCCCTTCAAGAATACAGTGGATGATATTGTAAGAAAACTAAGACGTCTTAGCATAAAAAGTGATGAAGTTTCCAGTTCTCAATTACAAAATTCAATAGTTCCATATGTTGATCATGGGGGTATAATGACTACCTATGAGAGAAATTTTCATTTGATCAAGCGACAGCGTCCTCGGGCTAAGGTCGATTTGGATGCAGAATCAAATAGGGTTTGGAAGCTTCTGATGGGAAAAGATTGCAGTGAGGGGGTTGAACGTTCAGATGTGGATAAAGAGAAGTGGTGGGATGAAGAAAGGAGAATTTTTCGAGGACGTGTGGATTCATTTATTGCTCGAATGCATCTTGTTCAAGGTACTAAAGCTTACCCTAACCTCCAAACTAGCATGATCAATAATTCTGTGCTTGCTTTTTTGTTCACAAAAGCTTTTAGTACTCATAAACATGTGAAAATTTTATGCATTTTTTTGGAATAGTATAGACGAGTGTTAGCATAGAAAAAAATTTAATGTGATACACAAGAAATTTTTTTTGCTTCAAAACACATACCAGAACGAAGAGCGAGTGAAGTGGCATTTTTTTTTAACTGAAGTGTTGATATTTTATCTAAAACTATTAATGTATTAATACATTCATGAAAAATTATAAAACATAAAGTATAATATAAATATTGATATAAAATAGAAAAGAATGTGTGGAAATCAAAATGTGTGGGAAATTAAAGAAATAATTTATATTTCGCCTTATTCTTTGAATTGATCATACAAGGTATTATATAGGAGATTAAAAGGAGAAAAACTAGGAAACTATTTAACTAATTCCCTTAATTTAAGGGATTACTAATATATTCTAATTTCCTTATTTTAAGGGATTTACCAATTAATTCTAATTTTCTTAATTAAGGAAATTAGAATTAATTCTCACAACTTTATTTCCATCTCAGTCACATCTCGACACTCCCCCTTAAGCTGAGGAATAGATGTCTTCCATTCCCAGCTTGGATACAAGATCATGGAAACTTGAACTGTTTAGCCCCGTTGTTAGAACATTGACTAATTGTATTTCTGATGGAACATAGGACATACACACTAACCCTTCCTCCAATTTTTCTTTGATGAAATGCCTATCAATTTCAAGATGCTCTGTCCTATCATGTTGTATAGGATTATGAGCTATATTAATAGCTGACTTGTTGTCACTGTAGAACTTCATAAGACCCTCCCATTGGATTCTCAAATCATCCAAAATGATTCTCAGCCACAGTAATTCACATAATCCTTGAGCAATAGCCCTGAACTCTGATTCTGCAGATGACCTTGCCACTACATTCTGCTTCTTGCTCCTCCATGTCACTAGGTTACCTCCAAGAAAAGTACAATATCCTGTAGTTGATCTTTTATCCACTATGGAACCAGCATAGTCAGCGTCGGTGTAGGCTTCCAGAATAAAAGTGTCATTCCTTTTTAACAAGATTCATTTCCCCGGATTGCCTTTCAAGTAATGCAGTACCCTGTAGGCGGCCTGAAGATGAGGTTCTCTAGGATCATGCATGAATTGACTGATCATACTTACAGAATATGCTATGTCTGGTCGAGTGTGAGCAAGGTATATGAGTTTG